CCTCAAACTCCTGACCTCAGTTGATTCATCCGCCTTGGCCTCCTAAAGTGCTGGGATTACAGGCATGAGCCATTGCACAGCCAAAAATACAGTTTCTTTAAGAAAACTAAAAAATAATGGCCGGTCGAGGTGGCTCACGCGTATAATCCCAGCACTTTGGGAGGCTGTGGGTAGATCACGAGGTCAGGAGTTCAAGACCAGCCTGGCCAAGATGGCAAAACCCTGTTTCTACTAAAAATACAAAAATTAGCTGGATGTAATGGTGGGTGCCTGTAATCCCAGCTACTTGGCAGGCTAAGGCAGAGAATTGCTTGAACCTGGGAGGCAGAGGTTGCAGTGAGCCAAGATCTCACCACTGCACTCCAGCCTGGGCAACAGAGCAAGACTTGTCTAAACAAGCAATCAAATATATGTGTGTGTGTATGTATGTATATATATATATATATATTTTTTTTTATAGAGTAGAAAAAAAGAGGCCTGCTAGTATGAGGGTGGCAGGGGAATCAGGAGAGGCACACGAAATGAACAGTATGCCTTGTAGAGCATCAAGGGGAAATGTGACTTCAAACGAGATGGAATAACAGAACCGAAATACTAGGCTGAATAAAAGGGAGGTTGACACTCACTTTTTATATCATTTTTGTTGTCCCTTTGACTTTCTTTTACCTGCATATAACTGCTGAGAAACCAACAGTTAAAACCTCCTGGAGAATTCTAGGAAGAGATAAAGTTCGGTGACACTAAGCCAGAAGAGGCTGATAGTGGAGGCAGTAATGAGTTTTGTGTAGATAAAGGGATAGAATATGAATGACAGGAAGATATTATGTATTTCCGTTGAGACCAGGAAAAGAGGGAAGGTCACATTTAAGAGGTGCCCTATGAGCTTAGAGACGCAAGAATGATTTTTTTTCAATGGAATAATGTTTCAAAATTATACTCTGCCGGGCAAGCTTTTCTTCTACTGGTTTAGGTTCAGTAGTGCCCTCAAAGAGGGACAGCCTTTCAATGACCTTTTCCAGACCATGATTAAAATTGTTTAGCAGTTTTCTCATTATCTTGCTAGATATGTATAAAATAATGATTCTCCCCTAATCTGACTTAGCTCTTTTGGCCTGAGAATTTCTGTTTTACAGTCCTCTGCACACAGAATTTCATTTTATAATGCAAAAAAGTCAAAGGAGATAGATGATCTTGATAGTCTCCTATGCAACAGAGCCGCTCACTTTATTTAAATGGAAATGTGCATTTTCATGGAAATTGAGGTCTTTACTGATGAACAAAGATAAGCTGCCACTGTTAAATAGAACATTGATATATACACACAAAAAGTACCCCAGAAAACTCATAAAAACAGTGAAACTTATAGGGAAAGATGGGGAATGTTAAGGATATATGTACAGAAAAATTTTTATGGTTTAGTTGTACAGTATTTTGATGGTTACTAGTTTAAAATCTCAGGTCAAAGATTTAGGAAGACAGTGTGAATATATATATATGTCTAATAAGTATAGTGATTTAATATAAAAAGATTAAGTGGCACATTACCTTTTTAAAGTAAATATTAGCAAACGTTGCTCAGTGAACGTGATGGGTTAGGTGTGATGTGATGCTTTTTTGTGAAAATGTTAATGTGGCTGTTTTACTTTTATTTTTATAACTCATTTAAGAAATATTTAATGATTTTATATTGTGCTTTTCCAACTAGAAATCTGAAAAGTAATCTTAACTGTTGCTTTCCATGCGTGTCTTGCATCTGTAAGAGATGGAGGTTTGGTTTATTTTTCCTCAGCAATGAGCTGTGAATCTAAGTATTTTTGCTCTTCCTACTGTCAGTGCATTAATTCTGCCTGCTCTTGACAGTTGTCAGGAGCTGGCATCTGGCCTCTCCCATCTTCTCCACCCCACTTCAGCTCTGTCCAGCATCTAGGCTACCACTTACGCCATTTAATTACATTTCCAAGGGGTCGACCTAATGGTCAGAGATGATGAAGGAATAGAGTCTGAGAAGGAACAACCAACAGCTGGGGAAAGAAAATAAAGGCTACAAGACGATCCAAGACAGTATTTACAGTTACAAACGGGGAATGTAACCAGTGGAGCACAGATGTTACATAACGACCGGTTCTTCCTCAATTTGAACAGTGTTTTGTCCACACTGCTGCTATGGGAAACGTTCACACTTCACACATCACAAAAATAAAGTTTTAGAGACATGACTGCTATGATTTGACTGTGTTCACTGAAGTGCACATATTGGAAACTTAATCTTTAATACAACAGTGTTTAGAGGCGGGACCTTGAGGAGGAAATCAGATCACGAGGCTCAGCCTTCATGACTATTTTAATGCAGCAGGCTCATTATAAAAGGGGGAGTTCCGTCCTCTTTTCCTCTCCCTCACTCATGTGATGCTTTCCACCAGGTTATGGTGCAGCAGGAAGACACTCACCAGATGCAGCCCCTCTAACTTGACTTCAGCCGCCAGAACCTTCAGCCAAAAATTACCCAATGTGAGGTGTTCTATTACAGCAGCATAAAAAGGGCTAAAACTGTTATCTAAAGGAATAAATTACCAGAGCAGCGTTGGCCAGGGGCACAAAGAGGCAAGTGAGGTTGTAATACTTTTGTTTCACAAACCAGTTTTATTTCCGTGATTTTTCTGAATATAGATAGTAAAAGGACCCTTAGTATATTATTTGAAAGCTGAAACCATCAAAGATGAATCAAGATTTAAAAAGAGGCATCAATCTACAGAAGTAACTACGTGGTTTAGATAGTCCGTCTTTGCCAAATGAGATAAACCTCATTATGACTTATTAGAGTTTGGGCGCAGCAAGTAGAAAACTGATATTAAAATCATCTCTTTAGTAGTTATTTTTGGCGTTTGCAGTATCCATTATATTTGTTTAGGAGAAAAATTTTTATTTTAGCTAAAAAAATCCAAAAATGAAAGAAACGTTTAATTTCTAATTATTGTTTATACTTCAGATACTTGACTTTACCTCTCAATATTATGATTCAGACACTGGCATTTAGTTACGTTGTAGCACAAAGGGCCGAAACAGAAAATGCTTCTAGTGTGCCTACGTGAGTATTGAACAGGCAGTATACAAAGACGTATCAGTTTTTCTCAGGGGCAAGAGGAAGAAAGCCAGACGTCATGTGCAATGGAGATTATTCGACCTCCTCTCTTCTCTATCCCTCTGCTGTCTTAAGAAAACAAACTCCAAAGCCAGATGAATATAATTCAGTCACTCCTCTCAATTATGCCTGCTGATGTGATGCTTGTTCGGCAGAAGAAGATAGAGAATCTGTTCCATTTCAGGTTCTTAGTCTTTCTGATCAGGAAGCTTCTTTAGCTGAGAACATAGATTATGAACATAGAGACCCCTGTGGCAGCTTTCGGAAGGAGACCCAGCCATGCAGGAGACAAGGTGATCCACTGTACATGGGAATGAAGTGAACCGGGAAGAATGCTCTGCAAACGTGCCTGAAACTTTTGAGGTAGTTCTACTTCTCTGCCTACCTGGGAAACAGGACTAGCTTCATGAGTATGTGACTGTGCAGTCACATCGAGTCTTGAGTTTAGATGTGCCCTGTAGTTGATTTAGTTCTCTGCTGTCACTTTCTTGAAATTCCTATCAAATTTTTAACAAGAGATTCTGTATTTTTCAATGTGTTCTGGGCCCTGCAAATTATGTGGTTTGTCCTTCTGGGGGAAAAGGGGATTTGAAAGAGATAGAGGATCATCAGCTGCTTTCTTTTGGCCTTTGTAAAGACATGACACCTGACTGGAAGGGCCATGCTTGCATCTGTTCTGTGCTTTTCAAAGGATTAAACAGATTCCCAGCATCTAGAGGAGACCTATCAAGAGATCTCCCCATCAAGATCGAGTCTCCTTTCTGTATTTTAGGAAAACAGCCTCTCCACATACACGTATGCTTTTGGCTGCATCTAGAGGAGACCTATCAAGAGGTCTCCCCATCAAGATTGAGTCTCCCTTCTGTATTTTAGGAAAACAGCCTCTCCACATACACGTATGCTTTTAGCTGCATGCGGCAGCCATCGGCAATTCAATTTCCAAACTCTCTAGCACTTAAGTGTGTCCATGTTATTGTTATTTGGACCGCTGAGCTGTGAATCCTCTGTTTGGAAGTTTCAGGTTATTGCCTTAAGGACAAAACCAGAGTCTGAACTATTTCCTTTTCCCTCTCACGGGCAGGAAGGCAGATGTACTGGCTACCTAGCTTTGGTCATTTAGAGGAGGATGGCATGCTAGGGGAAGGCAGAGCCAAGAACAGAAGGAACTTGGGCCTTGCAAGATCCCCTGAAGGAGAGCTCCTTGGCCAGCATGGACTATTCACCTTGGGTCAAGCATCCAAAAGAGGAATAAATCTGTATTCTGGAGTCTCTGTTACATTGGCTTAGCCTCTGCCCTAACTAATGTGTAGCATAAATTCCTGTGGGCTGATTTGCAAAATAATTTGTATTTATTCTGACTAGTTGAATCATCAACTGTCTTGAGTATCGGAAAATTCTACATAGGGAGAATTATTAGTTTGCATTAAAATGACATAAAGCTGCATTGAACCAAATTTTACCTGTGGTGATTCTCAGGACATTTCTGTGTCTTGCAGAGGCTCATGGTCATCATTATAAATACTATTTTGATTACAGTATATGTCTATAGATGTGGGGGCTTGAGTAAATCTGTAACCTTATGACAAACTCCTGAAAACTCTAGTTTCATTGTAATTTATCTTCATTATAAAAAAATACTATAGAACATTAAAAGTAACTTTTGTGAATTTTCTCCTTTGGCAACAAGATGAACACTTAGTATACCTAAAACAAAACAAAACAAATAAATACAAGGTAACTTTACCTCTCTTTTGTTAAAACTTTTCCAGGACTAAAACCTAAGATTTAAGATAATATGTTGATAAATCAGTTACAAAACAATTAGGGAATCTTTTGTTCAGAAGTGTAGATTTGACAGTACCTGCCCCAATGACTCTCTCAATGCGAATTCTGGAGGGATCAATCTCCTTTGCAAATTCATGGACTGCTAGGGACGGGTCTTCATAGGTATCTGGATCAATGTAAGTTTTAATTCCCGGGAAGCGCACTGCAACAAGAACGGAAAGATTGATTTCGTTGGAGCATCTCAGTAGTCTACGTCCTGTGAACGTTTAAAATGGGAACGACATACTGAAGCAGTCAGTCTTATGAGCAATTTAAACTCTCTCTTTTCTTCCTGTCCCACCCTCTGCCCATATTAAAGCTTTGACTACGAGGGTCAAACATTGATTTACCTCACTGTTAATGCAGAGTGAATTGGTGGATTCCTAGAAAGTGAGCTGACAGGTTCCAAAATACATATGTCACATATTTCTGTAAAACGTTTCATCAGCTGACTCATTCACTAAACTTCCAATACATTCCACATCCGCTCCAGCTCAGGGAGGGGGGAAAATGAGGGATAAACCTCCCTCCAGAACAAGGAAGCCCATTAGGTTCCCTCCTGAACGCTTTGTACTCTACGGCACTAGGTTGTATGAACTCATCCCCTATTCCTGTGGTCTCCCCTCTTCCAGAAATTCTCAAGCAGTACTGACTCTGTGGCATAGGAACAAGAAAGGCCAGTAGGGATAAAGAACATTCTCTTTATTCTTGGAGTGGCTTCCATGGCCTGACTGCAGTAGCCCTGAAAAGGATCAGCTTGTCTATCCCGGTGGGAAAATGGGGATCAAGGGCCAGAATCTAATTATTGGTTGTACATCTGTTCAGCTGTATTGGTGGGAATGCTGTGCTCACAGCCCACAGGCAGGCAGGATGATGACAAGGGATGGCTGGAAAACACGAATGTGTGGCTGTATGCTCATTTGTGAGTATCTGAAGAAGGCATAAATTGCCTCTATGAATATCCCTCAGTTTGGCTCATTTATTTATTTATCTTCTTTTTGTTAGAAAAATGGTATCTTGCTATGTCATCCAGGCTGGCCTTGAATTCCTGAGCTCTAGTGATCCTCCTGCCTCAGCCTCCTGAGTAGCTGGGACTACAGGCACAAGCTGCCAAGCTGGCCCTTTAATTTCCATTTTCCATTTTAGATCACTAGACAGGAGGTCTTTTCTTATATATCTGTCTTTCCAATATCTTAGGTATGGTTTTACAGGTAATAATCACACAAGGAGCCTTTATAGAATACAAACTAGTAGGGATTAAAAGACCGATGTGAAATTTTTGGCAGAGTGGATGGCATTTGGTTTTGTTGCTTCTCAGATTTTGAAAACCGTATAATACCCAGTGTTGACTGTTGTTTGAATCTCCTTAGAAACATGCCCTTGCAAAACCAAAAAACATCAAAAGAAAACAAACCAAAGGTACTAAAGTTCAGAGGAAGTGCTGAAATGCCCAGTATCAGCAACAATTCGCTTCATTAGTCCTTTTATGCCCGTTGCCTGTATTTACATTTTGTCTTCTGTCTTCTTAGTGCTGCATGTGCACCATGAGAAAATCAGTATTTCTCAAAATAGCACAAGAAAAGCATATTTCCAGGTACACCTAGACCTGACACTAATTTTCACACGCCATGATTTTCTTCTCAAAGTTTACATTGGAGAAAAGAACAGATAGTCTGTACCTCTCTTATATTCCATATGATATTTTTGTAACTTAGTAGAATTATGATTTCAGACTCAGTTCTATAACCTCAAAGCTGGTAGCCACTACTAATCATTAGTGGTATGTAATCAGATGTGCTCATGTTGATAATGGTATGTTAGCCACAGATAACAAGCATCGTTTATTAATTCATGTGGTTTTCACTATTGAACTATTCAATTACCTGAGGTAGTGCACATTTCTAAAGAATAAGATCAGTAAATATCACATTTTTTTTCTTACAAACATGATATGTGTAGTAAAGAGGAAAAAAAACAACAACCAAACAACTTGAGCTTTGAATACCTGGTTACTAATTTAACTTAACACAGTCTTCTTAAACACCAGCATGTTAAGTTTCTTCTACCTCCTTGGCTGGCTCGAGTTATTTTCATTGCTTCGTGCTGGGCCCATCTGGTTTGGTTTATGCTAACCTGCTTCTTGGAAAACAGATAATAAATGCCTCAGGAGCACCTTTTCCCTCTGCATATCAGTACCAAATGTCCTGCAGTGAATCTGAAGGTTGCCCAGCAGAAGTCATCAGCCCAGGTGCCGGATCCAGGTTTCTGTAATCTGTTTACAGCCTTTCCACGTTATCCCTTGCCAGACGTCAGTTCTCTCAGCTGTGCCAGTGCCCTGAGACTCAGACTTACTGTGTAAACGTTCCTCACTTAAATCCTTTCCCTCTCCTGGAGGGTGGTATAGATTGAAACGTCCTTTATTATGTTTTGCTCAATTCGAAAGAAAAGAGAAATTTAAACAGTGAAGTGGCCTCGCACATTATCTCTATCCTGTGGTTAATTACAGAACATCCCTTTCTTGTTAATTCAGTGTCTCACAATAGAAAAACTGTCTTGATAAAGTAGTTTGCAATTTGGAACTGGAGGTGGAGGTGGGTGTTGAGGAGGAGAGGTTGTCAATTATCAAACCAACTATAGTGGTAATTATAGGTTGCTTGGGAAAAGATCTCTCAAATGAATATAACCTTGTAGTCAGCTCAAGGATTTCATACATATTCTAAGAGTTAAAGAGCTGATATTCTTTTTTAGTGTTAATGAATTGTAAATTGATTTGTTATATATTTAAAAGACAGTCTGCACAAGAAGGAATAAAGATTCCTTAATATTTATTTTTATGTCTAATGCTCCACTAGATAAAACCAACTCATGTTCTGAAGCCATTGTGAGTGGTAAATAACTTGATAAAGTCAGTCAACTATTATTTTTAGGAAATTCAGTCTGTTTTCCAGCAAGCAGAATTAGGAACAAGGTAATGTTATTTAATGAGAAGCAGGTGCAACTTTCACCAACAAACCTGGAAACCGGATGAAAATGTTAATGCTAAAAGGCTGGAAGTGTTTTTTTATTCTTTTTTTCTCAACTCAATAGATACAGTTCGAATAAACTCCGGAAGTGCTGGAACAGTAAACAAAGCGGAAGAAAGTCACTGTGCTACTTACACTGCCCATTCTGCAAGTGGTTTCTTCTCTTCTCTTCTGACTTCATCTTGGCTTTTATGTACCATTGACATCTTTTAAAAAGACAAAAAGAAACTTGTTTTAGGAAGTACGCTGGACACAAACCAAAACCAATTAAAATACATATAATCCAGGAACAAAGTTCTTGTCATAAAGACCACTTTAAAAATATCTTTATAATGTCAAAATATTCTGTAGAAGGTTTCTTATGTACACTGAAATTAGCCCTAGAATAAAGTACTGTGAAGTCAATGGATTCAAAGGACAGGAGTCTTAGAAAATATTTAATAATCTGCCCCTTGCCATCCTTTATATGACTACTAATAGCTAGAGTTGGTGAATAAATAAATAAATAAATAAATAAAAGTCAAAATAAAAAAATGTTTTGAATCAGAATTTCAGAAATGTATACAAATGTCTTCCATTTTAATTGCTAAATAGCAGCATGGTTCAACAGTTATAATTTTTAATATTTGGAATTTGAGGCATGTTCTATTCTCTCTCTAGATAACCATGCTCTCATGAGTTCTTCAGTATGAGTGAATTCTTCAACATTCACATGATTTGATGGCTTATCAAATTTCCAATGGCTAAACAAAGTATATCTGTGTTACACAATTCAATCTTTCAATGGGAATTCTGCCTCAAATTCTAGGGCAAGCTGAGTATTTATTCAGAATTATCTTACAGTTTTCATAGGATATTTTCCATTGAATGCTCCTCTACCAAAGTGTTTAAGTGATACTTCAAAACATATTTTTTTCTATTTTATGTAACCGAAATTGTTCTCTTCAGTGCATGGAATGTTAACATGTAAATTGGCGAACATAGAAACTGAAAGCTGTAAATAACTTAGCACACATTTTTCTTCATCATTAAATTCTCCTTTTAAGTAGTATTTCCGGTCTGCTCCAGGAATCCCACATAAAGATAACATTTGAGACCACCCCTCAAGTTTATTAGGCCTTACTTATTTAGCCTGCAAAGATGGAAATGTTTTCTTTTGTGTTTGTCATATCTATGTGTTAATGAAATATTTTCTGATGTCTTAATGAAATGCTTTTCCACGTGTGTATGTGCTATTTAAATCATTGTTTATTGAAATACTCTAAGAGAAAACAAGGCCTTAACTTATGTTCTACAAGATATATATAACTGCATCCAATTTTGCAAGATAGTGAATCACTATTAAATTTATTTTAAATAAACTTCCAGAGGATTTTTTTTTTCTATTGTGGGTGATACGGATACATTTAAAAAATTACTCCCTTCTTCAAAGAAACTTTCAAAATGGAAAATGAAACTATTTCAGAATCAAAATCAACCATCATACCTAATTTATCACAGTATAGTTACATGATATAATTTGTGTCTTTGGAATTAAGATCTCCTTAAAGTACAATGGGACTTAAATAAGTACATTATACTCAAATAAAACTCTCTGAACTCCAAAGCAAATTGTGTTTAAATTGTATGCAAATGCATGATAATTAGAGTATTATAAAGATGTCAGTGTCCCCAATTCAAAATGCATGGGTAGCATTAATGATATGGAGGGTAAGGAATATACAGCAAGGTTTATTCTTCTATTTAATGTTTTCCTAAAAAAGTTTGCTAAACATGTAGTAATGCTAAAGTACTGGCAATTTGATTTTCTCTACTTAACCAAATTGTCATTGTGCCTCTACATATAACAAAATAATTTTATTTTCCTTATTCCCTTTCTTCTTTAAAGTTGAACCATAACCCTCACTGAAACTTCCTTCCTTCCTGCCCTCTCTCCATCTCTCTGTCTTTCTTTCTTCTTTCTTTTTTTCTCCTTCCCTAACCATACTGTCTTTTAATTCCCCTCTTTGCAAGAGTCCTAAATAATATGGGAATAATTTTAATCTTTTTCAGAAAACTTAGACTTCCACCAAGATGTATAGGGATTTTGTTTATTTGTTATAACCAGCCGACTCCTGCTAGCGATTCAAAATTTTGTCGGCCATGTTTGATAAGCTGCAGTGTTGAATATTTCATCTTCAACTTAATGGTTAATTGGTTTACAGATTCCAAAATTTGCTTTCTGTCCACTATAAAAGGTGAGCTATATCAAAGTTCTGATTATGGCAAACAGCTGTCAGAGGTCAGCCCTAAAAATAAAGGAAAAGAGTCCTAGGGGAATGCTGGACAACAGTGGCTGATGGTGCCACATGTTGTACCCAAATTAGTACTTTTATTAAGATGAATTTATCATTATTTCCTGAATTCTTTCATGTCTGTTTTTTCCTTGTTACTGTAGCTAGAATTATTCTATCAGCTAATCGCCCCCAAAAACAAGAGGACCCCAGATACTCTCTCTTAGTTCTAAGACTATTACTATATCTGTTTATGTACATAAAAAGTTAAGTAAACGTTGTTGTAAAGTGCCTTCTTTCCATTTAATTTCACAAATAAAGTCATTGTTTTTAACTCAGCCACTTTAGAATACTCATGCTGCTTTCTTCCTTGGTAAACTTATAAAAGGAAGTTTGTTACAGCGAAACCTAATGCACTCTTATTGGTCAGAGACACACTTGATACACGCAAAGTAACTGTTAAGTTCTTTACCTTTTAGTGTGCTGTCAAAATTGTGAACAATTTTTCATATATGCATATCCTCTGTCATTTTAAGTAGATTAAATTTTAACAAAATATTGGTCTCTAAGTGGAGTTTTAAAAACAAATGGTGCTTTTGGTTCATTGAAGGTAGCTATTTGTTATTTTCAGCTATTTCTGAGGTGCCAAGGTTTTCTGGCAGGGTTGCTGTACTTTAGCTGGAGTCTACAAGGGTGTGTATTGTTTGGCTGACGTTCTTTTCCAGTTTTAAAGCTTGAGAGTAGAATGCTGCAGTAGATGTGTATTTCAGATTATAAAAAAATCTGTTGAGGTTTCTTTTGTGCCCCTATCGATATCTAGATAGAATATTTTATCTTCTTGTTAGAATGATCTGAGGATAAAATGTTGTGATTTCTGACAAAAGTCTTGGCCAAATTCCATGGGTTAAATAAAAAAATAACATTTATTCTTTCATATAATTTTGCACATATTATCTTCATTTGCATCTCTATATTATCAGCACCTGGCCTATGGTAATCATACTATATATTTTAAATACATTAAATGATTTTAATATACTTTTACATCAAACCTTTGTAAAAATAGAAAGTAAGTTTCCAATGGGTAAAGCATTCAAATTTAGGTATTTTGCTACGTTGAATTTACTGTTACTTTATATTTTTATTCATATTACTCTGAAGTATAGAAATATTAGCCTTATAAAACCAATTAATATAATTCTAACATAATTTCAATATTTAATTCATAAAAATATATTTCTATAACACTAGGATTACAAAGAGTTTTTATATGAATTGTTCTGGCATTCCATTACATTAGTTTTTCCAAGAAAATGATTTTTATGGTGTAATTTGATTATAGTAAAGAAAAAACTCAGAGTAACTTATTGAATATAAATTCGTCATTCACGGCTTTCAAATGCCTTTATCATCTTTGGATCTTTCCATATACAGAAACCTGTTACACAGATAACTAACGATTGAGTTTTCCCAGGATGGCTCTCCACCTCAGGCATGTTTTCTTATACCTGAAAGCATTGACTGTGCAGTGTATAAAAAGAGTGGTTATTCCCCAATGTTGGAAATAATCTGGTGTGCTTCAGTTACCTCCCAGTGATCAAGAAGAATAAAGTGAGGATGACCAGGAGAGTGAATCCGCCAACAGCAGCGGTGGCTATCACGAGGATCTGTCCTTGTTCTGCTGCCATGTCAGAAGCTGAAACAGAGACACAATATTACAATTTCCTTGGGTGACACTTCACTATCGAAATCATTTTACAATCTAGTTTATACTAAAAAATACAGTAACAAATGCCAAGCCCGGTATATTTGGTCTTTATTTCAGTATTTGACATCTATGAAGCAAACCCAGAAGCGCTGAAGAGCTGGGGCCATGACCCACAACATAAACCTTTCCTCTTGCTTCAAAAAAAGGTCAATAAAGTAGATAAATTCCTAGTATCCCTTATTTAAGATTAAGTGTGCTGTAAAATTAACCCGCAGATGGGCTACAGAATTCTGTGATGTAACTGCTCACTGTACCTCCTAAACACTTTGGCCACTAGACCAGGCTTCGGTGACTGTTTTGCTATCTGTTTTTACAGAGTAGAAAGACTACTATGTAATTCCTGTTAAGAATGAAGTTCTTTATATTTCATAGAGCTCAATTCAAACACTGAAGTTGTGGACAGCACGAGGATATACACAGTGTGTTCTTAGATGTTTAATTAGCAATAATTAGAAAAATGATATTTAAAAGCTTTCTTTTTAGAAGGCCAGATTACATATGGTAGCAACATGTTTTTTCTTTCATTGATAAAACTGTCTCTTAAAATCACGTGAGCTGCACATTTTACTAATCTTCCAGGAAAGTTTTAACATATATCATTTCAATTGATTTATTTGCACTTCTAATTTTTTGTATTAATAATGCTTTAATCAAATATAATTTTAATGGGTAAAATAGGCAGTTGCTTAATAATAGAGATAAGAAAACAGAAACACAGAAAAATTGAAGAAAGTGCCGAAGCTCACACAGAACTATAACAAGAATTCAGTCTTTCAGGTTTTTGTCTCCTTCCTTCCTTCCTTCCTTCCTTCCTTCCTTCCTTCCTTCCTTCCTTCCTTCCTTCCTTTTTCTTTCTTTCTTCTTCTTTTTTTTTTACCATAACTTGTAATAATAAGTCACTTAATCATCAATATTCTAAAAAAACAATCAGTCTCTTAATATTCCTTAAATTAAACTTGTTTATTTGTTTGTTATTTATTTATTTTTTAGACAGAGTCTTGCTCTGTTGCCAGGCGCCAGGCTGGAGTGCAGTGGCGCAATCTCGGCTCACTGCAACCTCTGCCTCCCGGGTTCAAGCAAGTCTCCTGCCTCAGCCTCCCAAGTAGCTGGGACTACAGGTGCACACCACCATGCCCAGCTAATTTTTGTATTTTTAGTAGGGACACGGTTTAACCATGTTGACCAGGATGGTCTCGATCTCTTGACCTCATGATCCGCCTGCCTCGTCCTCCCAAAGTGCTGGGATTACAGGCTTGAGCCACCGCGCCCGGCCGTTTTTTTTTTATTTTGACTACTGAAAATAAATAATATCCATTAATCTCATTAGTTATTGGAGAAAACAATCAAATAAAGTATATAACTGAGAAGCTAACTGCAGAAGTCTCTACCGTAACAATGTGTTAAACTTGAGCACTTTACAGCTGCCACGGAAGTCGATCTTTTTCTGGGAATTAAGTATGCAGTATACTACGTGCAAAGTCATACCTAGAGCAATAGTGTTCTCATAAAGATGACGTATCCACTACAGAATGTCTGAGCCCTAAACACTATTGACAAGTCAGTAAGAAACCAGTTATAGCATTTTAGATACTTTTTTAAGGAAATATAAATATAAATAAAAACAAGTCATTTATATTCAGTTTTAGTAAGAAGAATTTATTAAATTTTAGATTTTAGTCACTATGATTTAATCAAGACATTGTCAAGCAATCTACTACAATGTTTTTTCTGTTCATACTCTGTGAAGAGGCAAGTTAAATAGCTGCATCTTATCCAATAAATAATGTATTGAAGGTCTTTTATTAGTTCTTCACCGGATTTCCTAATCTTCAAAATAGCACTGATATCATGGGAATGAATGTTGTGCTCTAAAATGTCACATTTTCTCACTGAAAGTTATTGAATAACAAAAATGTAACAATAGATGTTCTAGAAAACATTATCTTTTTGAAGATAAAGCAGGTGGCATTTACCCAAACTGAACATTATTTACTTAAAAGCTGTTATCTGTGAAATATATAGAATAGTTCAAGAATTTCGAATCGTTTCACAGTAGTTAGGTAGGTATCATTTGTTGAGTCCAAATCAGAGGGAGATTTTGTAATTGGGTGCCTTTTGAAAATCAGATTACTTTGTTATAAAACAAGGTGTTGTTTGACATACATAATTACTGATTATACTGCTAATTCTATGAATGTCTCCTTTTGCACACTGTTATATTACATTTATAAACTTCGTTTTGATTAAAAATTTAACTAGGTAACAATCTTGTTATGACACTTTGAAAAATGCATATTCCTGCATAATTGTGTCTTAAACTTAGGACCCCTAAACACTCCTGTGTGGAGAATAAAATATGTTAAATACTCTTACTGGAAAATAAGAGTATTTAATAAAACACTATTATACTGGGAGTAAAATGCTATAGATTGTGAGGCTGGGATGATTATAAAAACCTCATCAACATTATCTTCATTAAGAATAGCAGTCATTATTTAATAGGAAACTAGGCTTAGAGCTTCAATTCATTATCGAATTTATCTTCACCATGGTCTTGTTAGGTAAGTATACTATCATTCCTAGTTCGAGCAGTGATATGACTTTCTCAAGGTTACCTATGTTGTATGAGGGAAAGCTGGCAATCCAACTTCAATTTGCCGATCTCCAAGCCCATGCTATTGCTAGTACTTTAAACCACCATTTTACTAACAGAAGCACTAACTATATCTAGCTGTATTTGTTACCCGAGAGCAATCATAGCCTTGCTTGAACTTGGCTTCATGTCTATAAAACGAGAATGCTGAATTAAATATTCCTGTCACAATCTTTCAGAGCAACTCTACTATGATATTGTGTTATCCATGCAGACTGCAATCAAACAGTGGAAAGAACAAGATTTGTCTTATGAAATAAAAACAATTAGGACCTTGGTCCTGACAGGGATAATTTTTGCCTTTTACCCTAATAGTGTTGGTCCACCACAGAGCTCTCACTTCCTTTCAGGATAAACTACATGGCCCTTAACTTTTTATGAAGGGTATGTAAAAACAGCCCTAGCATATGTCTTCAGACACATCTTAACATTCTCTAAGCATGCTAAATTTCTTCCAATTCCTTGAATGAGCCAAACTCTTAAAATCTGGTCAATTCCTAATCACTCCTCCATGAATATCTCATCATTTGGAAAGCTTTTTTTTTCTTCCTGGTTTAGATTTGGATAGGTCTCCAGACAGATGTTCCCCAAGACTCTTAAACTATTTCCACCAATAAAACTACCACAATTTATTGAAATGACTTTTTATAATACATCTTTCCCAATTGATTTCAAATTTCCTAGGGCAGGAACCATATTCAGCATTATATCTATAGTGAGGTGAATGGTGACAGCCTTTCCCCTTCCCCTCAAAAAAGGAATTTGCAGGTGTAATTAAGAATATTGATTATCCTGGATTAACGGGTGGTCCCAAATCCAATGACAGGTGTCCTTAAAAGAGACAGAAGTGAAAAGACAAAGAGGAGAAGGCCATGTAAAGACACACGTAAAGGCAAAGGCAGAGACTGGAGTGTGCGACCTGCAAGCCTGAGAATGAACACACCAGAAGCAAGAGGAGAAAAGGAAGGAGCCTCTCTTAGAGCATTTGGATGGAGCATGCTTTTGGTCTCCAGAGCTGTGATCTATTGTTTTACGCCATCGACTTTGTGATAATATGTTGTAACAGTCCTAGGAAACCAATATAGTGTCCAACGTACATGGTAGTAAATATTCCTTTGAGAGAATGGCTTGAATAATTATTTTCACTGGATGGTTCTGGTAAGAAAAGGTCAGGGGTAATCCACATTGCCACCTTCCCCTTGATATGTGAGGGAGATTTACTATCAGTGTAGCTATACAATGTATGCGAAAACAGTTTACAAAACACCAATCAGAAAAATTCAATTATTCTGTGTGCTTGGAGACAATGTTTGCTGGGGGGGTAGAAGCTACTGGGAATTCAGACTGCTACATTTTACCAAGTTGAGTGGATTAAAGCTCAGAAACATGAGTCTAAGGTTAAGAATCTATTAGTTCATTCAATTAATATTTATTGAGCAACTATTATATGCTAGGCACTAACACAGACACAGGCTACACAATGATGACCAAAACAGACACAGTTACTGTGCTCAGACACTGGACAAGAAATTACAAAAGTAATTATTGTTACAAAAGGGAAGCTGTAAGGTGTTGGAAAGAATAAGTTTCTCTAGCACTGAGTCAGATGACAGGGAATTTTTGAAAATATAATGTGTTAGCAGAAGAGGAGGAATAGGATGATCTCCTTGGCTAGAGGTCTCACTAATTTGATTTATTTAAATAGACACTTAGGTAAAGAAACAAATGGGCAAACCATAAAATTATCTACCAAATGGATTCTACAAAAATACAGTATAGCTATAATGGATTCTACAAAAATACAGTATAGCTATACATTTCTGTTATGAAAACTTGTCTATAGCATTAACCATTCATTTATTTCAATCCTGAGGAGAAGCTTATTTCTCATTAGTTTTGTAGGAGAAAAATGCATAATTTACTCACATAAGTAGCTACTATTGAAAGCAAACTTCTCCCTAAAAAGAACCACACTGAAATCCATAGTGCAAAATAAAATTTATTTGTGACTGGCTGATAGGAAATGATCCTTTGTTTAATGTCAAGGTTGTATTCTTGGACAAAGATACATATATTAAAATGACAGATTTCATTCTATGGTTTGGAAAGAAGTATACTTCTTTAAGAGGAAGCAATCCTCCAAAAAGAATTGCAAAATTGTAACTGAGCAACAGTGCTTGGCATAAGTTGTGACGACATTATTAAGTGTGGTTTGTTTCCGTCTCAAGAAAAAAAGTGAAATGCTTTACTTGGAATCTAAACACTTAAAAAAGAT